GATGCAAGCTTCGCATACACGTGTCCTTTGCTCCACATGAATACGTTTCAAAAGTTGCCATGGCAAGTGTGCATCCCACGAACGACAGCACTCGTGATACTCACCCACCCTTTCATAGAATCGCCGTACAAAACGTCAGCATCCTGTCTCAGCACGCGTTAGAAATCAGGACAATCACACACCAAGTCCACGCTCTATCGGCATTGCCTTGAAGGGGGGGTTGAACGACGAAGAAGGAAATAACTTACAATATATGTTAGTATGCAAACACTGCACGGACATGCCAGTACCGAACGCCAATAGGCAGTGTAGCCCATACTGAACACTATGCTGAATGCCGAATTGCGAACACAGCATGCCAAAGTCGTGGACAAAGTACTTATGCTGACTGCTCTATTCATTTGACAGGTCAAATCACTAAACTACAACTTTACGTTCCATCCCCTATGCAGCAGCGTGATGGTTGTGATCGTCCTGATGCTCGTGTTTGGCTACCACTGCTGCTGCAATGGCTGGTGACGTTGCCGAGTCAAAGCCATCGAGCAACGTGCCAGCGAAAAGGAGGAGGAAGAACACGCACTCGGAATTTTTGCCCACAACGTACGGTAGGACCAAGTTTCGGATGCCACCAAAGCCTAGAACTGTGATGACGGCGCCCATGAATTGGCTGTATCCCGTGGAAAGTTCCACCAGACAACCCAGCCCGAGAAACGACAACGCCACGGCACCCAACGTGGCTACCGCTTTGACCTTGGACTTTTTGATCTTCTTGAACGTCGCGTCTTCCGAGTCAAAGGTCAGGGCGCCAAGCGACAGCAGAGACACCTGCATGACGCCAGTGGTCGCGTACACAGCACGAGTGGCGTGGTGCGTGGCGTACTGGCCCATGCCAAACAGCGACAGCGCGGCTTGAAGGAACGGCACGTTCGAATCTTCGATGACCGCCTGACATCCTGTGGGGTACTTTCCGTCCAGGACTGGTGGGCTCGACGGTGCCGTGAAAGCGAACCAGTCATCTGGGTGGAGGCTCGGGAGGCTTTCCGGAAGGAGTTCATTCAGAAGACATTGAGTCGAAAGATGGCCGAGATTACTGACAACTCCCACCGAAAGTCTACGGAAATCGTCAGGGAGTATGTATGGCGGATCGCGGACGCCTCCCGGGAGGCTGGGTTGCAGGTCAATAGGGCCGTGGTTATAGTGATCAATGGATGTAGCGATGCGGAAGTGGCCGCGTGCCTCCGGGGAGCCTCGGTTCGACCTGAGACTACAGAAATCAGCCTGAACTACCTGATTGAGCGAGATGTGGACATCGACAGACGAACGGTTGGTTCCAGATCGACCCCCGAGACGACGGCGACTAGGTCCTCTCGGAACACGTCCCGGACCCAGTCCTCTTCGACGCCCAATGGAAATCTCCAGGAGCTCCAGGCCTCCATCTCACGACTTTAATGGGACATGACGAGCTTGACTACCTCTAACAACGACCAGTTTTCCTCCATCCAAGATGTCGTCGCCATGATCTCTACGGACAACCCGGCAGGAAACAGCCCGGTACAGCCCCGTATCTGCATGGATCCGGACGACGAAACTAAGTCGGGTAAAGTCATTTGCGGGAGGTGTACCATGCGGGGCCACTCTCGTGAACAGTGTCCTCGGTTGTCGTAGTTCTGTACTTGGTGCCGCTCCAAAGGTCACGGACTATCGGAGTGCAGACTGTCCCGGGACAACGGAGGTCGGGGTCCGGGACAAACCCGAACGGGACCCGGAGGACGAGGAGGAAATGCAACCTGTTACACCCGTGGGAAGATGGGCCATTTGAGCTGGGATTGTCCGTTGAACGCGTCCAAGCAGAGCTCTATGCCTGCCCACGTCGTGGCTGCCCTGCAATCCTGGTATATGTTGGACAACAAACAATCCACGGAAGGCAGCCCTGACTCCGACAAACAATGAGGACTCGGCGGTCTGAACCAAGCCGCCGGATGTGGCGTGGCACTGACCGCCAGAATTGCATCCCAGGTCATTTGCAAATGACCTCCGAAGATGAAAACGAACAAAGTACACGTAGTCCTGGGATATCCTCGCCCTCTCCGGATGATGAAGAAGGATCCCAGGACTCATACAAGATGGAAGATACCTCCCCCGAGGTGGTACGGGACTCGGCGACAATCGAACCCTGGACTGCTCCGGGGCTGGACGACGATACGAAGAATGGCATGGCGAGCCGACCCCCGCAAACGAAGGGAGTCCCGGGCTCTGCGTACAATGACATGCAACAATAGGGCGGGTTACAGGAGCGCCCTGAAGACAGGTTACAGACAGAAGCCAGGATGCTACCTCCCTCCGACAAGAGGCACGGGCCGGGTACGCAACCGCGCCCCGTACCGCTCCCGGAAGACATCACCGTGAGCACAGAAGAAGGCGGAAGGATTGGAGCTCCGGGGGCGAAAGCGACCTTACAGCAACAGACTGACGTAGGAAGAGGGTGCGACGAGGCGCCTGGAAGAGACAAGACAATTGGAGAGACCTCCGGGACCACGGGTGTATACATAAGACCCAGCGCCGGGGATGACTCGCGTCGACAAACGGACGGGGGCGAAGTCAATGAAAAGAAGGGCATGTATGCAGAACCCTCAAAAGATGAAAGTTCGTGTCGACAAACTGAACCGAACACCCTCGACGCTAGTGCGTCGCCTGACGGAGATTCTCTGGCTCCTCGGGGTGCTACCTCCGTCCTGTCCCGGACCCTGCCTCGGGCCCGGGGCCCATTGACCACCTTCACGGAAGAGACGAGTGACGCTGAGGAGCTAGGAGCCCCTTCTTGAGACTCAACGAACCCCCGGTTATGGCGTGTTCAGGGGCCGGTCGGGAGCACCCGGACTGGGTATTCGAAACTGGAAGACTTTCGTCCGGACTCGGATATCACCCCGGTATCCACTGCGACCCAGATTGACGCTATCTCCCGGGGCGATATGGCCGAACTTCCCGACTCCCGACATGTGGATATCGAAGAACGGCACTACTGGATCTGGCTCGTCGGGGCGGCGGGTGCGATCGAGCCAGCACCAGATGACGTGTCATGTGGGGAGGTAAGTTGCCAGCGGAAGCTTTCTCCATTTCGTTGGGCAGCGTCGGGACTCCCTGGGTTGTGTCGAACTTTGCCTTATGTAGTGACGGCATACTACGATCCTCCTGGTCCTCGCCGGAGCTCGGACATAAGTGGGGGAGAATGTCGCGGGGAATATTCGGACGTTCCGCGACCAGCCGTGGTGTTTTGGCTTTCTGCGCTCCGCGTTACGGGAGGCTCGCTGAATTTGTTAGTCCCTGGGGTCTGAACCCAGGACGACCACGGACAAGACTCTGAGCTATATTAAAGGGCTCCCGGAGCAGACTCCGGACGTCCTGGACCTGGATTATCCATTAGTCATACTCTTTTCTTTGAAGGTAAACCAACTAACTCGACTTTACATTCTGCCCTGAACTACGCGTTTGGTGTTTTACACGCTTGCCTACACCGCACCTAGCCATTCGATTTGTCGTGAAACCCCGCGACATCTGCTACGCCGTAAATTGTCGTCTTGTCCAAGTCGTTGACTGGTATCTTCTTGGCGCGGATATTGTTGAACATATGATACATGCATAACCGGTGCCAGCTCTCAGGAAACTCGATTCCAATGTCATTGGTTAGCCGTAAATAGTGTCAGTTACACGAAAGCTATCATGTGCGACATAGTAGGATAGGTAACACCTTTGCACCGATCGGATACAAACAAAAATCGTGCCGACATGCCCAAATTCGACTGTTTGAGCTGTTGGAGAATCCATGTCAATTCGACTTCGCTCTCAGTGGGCACAATTGCTAGTACCACGAGGAGGTTCTTGTTGAACCCGTCTTTCATTCTAGCAGCCAGGAATACCCCGGACTTACTGTATATACCCTTCAGGTGGCACCCGTCTAACGTGACCAGTTTTTGCAATGTCGACGCAGTTCACAAAGCATCCTGGGACAAAGATGCAACGTCGAATAGTTCTTCCGTTGTCGCTTGTTTCGAACTTTGTGTAACTGTCTACACAGATAGTTAGGACGAACATAGTATCATTTTCGTACTGATGTTCGCAGCACACAGTCGTAAGTACCCCTGTAGTTTTTGATATCCTTGTGCAATTGTTCCGTGGAGTACATCGATGGTGGCTTTGCATGCGTCGGACGTAAATGACGACTTCGGGACGAACTCATACTTGAGTTTCACAGCCGCTCGCACAACACTCCATGCCACCAATGGGTGGTCAGCTTCATATGTTGGTAAATCCTTCACGAACTCAAGTGTAGTTCACACAGCCTACGAAATCGCATAAATTCCACACAAATCATGTATGCTCAGATGTCCGCACAAACAACGCACATACCTCTGCGCGGGTGAGCGTTGTGTTGCGGTTGTACTTCGGCTTCACGGGGGGACGAAAAGGCAATGTCGACATAGTCATCCTTCCACGTGTCGGACACGTCCGATAGGTTGTCGTCGTTGTCCCCGAAGAGGCAGCGTTTCACTTTAAATGCCACTGGTACCACTACTTTCTCGTAGCTGGTGTGGAATAGGTGATTGTGCTCCAGTGTACATTGGTCAGCTTGATCTATACAGACAATATATTCGATCGTTTTAACACAACTAGCGATGTACCATTGCATCTGAACGTTCGTTGGCTGACATTCGGAAAGTGCACCCATCGTCTTGACTGCGTACCTCAAACCCAGCCGTCAAGGCCAGGGTTCTCACGCACTCTTTGAGTCGTTGCCAGTTGTCGAAGAAACATCGCTTGTCTTGCACACCAAGCTTGGTTGCCTCATCGCGATACTACTCGGGACACGTAGCCATAGGTGCGAAGGCGTAGGCACCGTCTTAGTTTGCAATGAAATGAACTCGACTTGGTAGTGGATTCGCCACGGTCATGTTGGCGTGTAAGAGTTGACTGGCTGAAAGTTGAACGACAAGAACGTATCCTCGGGGTGTAAAGGGATCGGCATGACCTGGCTGGCGAGAGAACGCCATGAGTGAGTCAACCAGGGTGCGAAAAGGACAAATGCGTGTACCCCTGAAAACGAATATTTTATTTGGCGGGAATTTGCCCGACAAGTAACCAAAGCCAATACGCAAATAACCAAAGGCAATGAGCAAGTAACCAAAGCCAATACACGCCCAGTCCACACATACACACTATTCACATCACATCTGCTCACTGCGTATTCTAATTGGAGTGTAACCGAAATTTACTACCTAACCGATCCGACGGCGTCAACGTTTCCAATGAGATGTCGACCTAGGTCGTATAGGACCAATGAAAATCCAGCATCGTACAACAAACCCTTTGTGAATGTTACAAATATATGTATCCTACCAACCAAATTTACGTATACATATTCGTCATCGAGCACGTCATTATCGTGAATTGTTGGATGTTCATGTTGTCGTCAAATGCTATAAGCTCACAGTTGTCACTCTTTTGACGCTCACACCCCTGGGCGGTATCATTTCTGAAGTTGCTGTGCGACCACATTGAAGGTATATCAATCCAGACGTTCTGTGGCGACAAGGGAGACGCCAACAATCGTAAAGCCCAATGCCCTGTGCATGTACAGTACAACCAAATCGATATCCGTCAATTCAAGGATGTGCAGCGCATGTACAATTTAATCGAGAAGAAGCGAGTGCAAGGGTATACATTGGAATCGAGGTCCCTACTCATTCACACGCGTTTCCACTCACGGCCAGCTTGTTGGTGTGTTGGACACAAAACGACAGGTTACATACGTTGGTATGTTTAGTGTGTATTGATCTGTATTTCAATAGATTGACGATGTCTCTAGCAAGAGCAACTTTATTCACAATTGACTGGAAGGTATCGAGGCGGAAGTGGCGAGTAAGCACAGATTGCTGGAGGATTTCATCGTTAATCAGCCTAATTATCAGCACACCGATGAGCCGCGGCATTACAGAACTCGACGGCGCACACTGTAAAGCGATGACACTCCAAGCATCCATTCGGACACGCCTTCCAAAGACATGAAAGGAAGCAATCGTCGACAAACATATGGACGACCCAGATCACGAACGAAAGCGAAAGTGACAAAAGTGACAGGAGTGACCGACACAGGTGCGATTACTAATAAGTGACACTAATTGTACTATAGTCAAACATACATGCTTCCTAGTCGGTTGCGCAGAAGCCATTCGAGGACGCTAACAAATAAGCGCTCCCGAAGTCGTCCACACACCCATTGGCAACGCCGTCGAACATCCGAGCAAAGCAACGGACACGGTGCACCAAGTTATGGTGGCAATGAGGCAAGCGAGGAACCATTCGCCCCGATGCGCTCCGCTCAACCTCCATCCGCTCAACCCCCCTCCGCCCAACCCTCCTATGTCCAACCCCCCTCTGCTCAACCCCTCTAAGACCAAACCCCTTCTGCCCAATCCCCCTCTACTCAACCACCCTGTGCCCAACCCCCCCTCTGCTCAATCCCCCTTTGCTTGTGCTAAACCAACGTCCGCGCAACTTTCGGAGCACATTAACAGCGTTGAGAGCAAACGCGCAGGCCGCCGTTCGATATCAAGAAGCAGAGCGAGTAGCGCGCCGTTACTCTACCTTGGCGACAGAGAGGAACGAATTCGGGTCATGGGGTTTAAGCGTGACAGTGTTCCTGGTAATGGGCATTGTCTTTTCTCGAGCTTGTATTGCTGCATTTACAAGAAGCAGATACTCAGCTTGGACGAACTGGCTGACCTCATGGTCATCAGGCGCATTCACGAAATCTGCAACCATTTAGCATCCAGAGTGTGTCGTCGCGTGTCTGATGCATCTTGGTACGACAACAATTCGTTTGTGCTTAAGCTTCCTGGTGGTATGCGGGAAGCGGTAAGAAGATTATTTGTTGCACGGGCTGCCATTCACCTGCGACGTTGACATCCCAGCTCGCTCATGCTTGTGCGGAAGATGGCAAGACGACTTATTACCTTGCTACCACGCGTTTGCTGTCACTAAGCAACTTCTTGCATTTCATGGATCTTGTAGCTTTTCCCTAGTTTTACTTGAATGGGTCGCAACAAGAACTATATCGCCGACACATCGATCCGTCGTCAACAACTGACTTGAATATTCAATCAGAGACTCAACCTCCAAGAGTTTTCTCTGCATCAGAAAAGAAGTACGAATAAGTAGTTACTACATAGTACTATAGTATACAAGTTGTTCAACCTCACAATCGCTTAGGAAACCTGGTCCGCCCAAGATGAAGCGTTTCAAGTCGCATGGTTTGTATTGAAATAAGAAGGTACCACTGTCCGCCCGCACAAGACCCTGAGCGTACTAGAATTTGTGCGGATGCAATCCTCTACATAACGGAAAAAACATGGAGCGTTTTATATCACGTATCCGGACTCGCTTATCCGGACAATGTCCGCATGACGGCAGTGAAATCAATGAGCATTGTGACAATGCGCGCCAAGAAAAAGCTCACGAACACCGATCCAAATGCCATCCTCCAGCAGCTACTCGCTCACATGGTAGACCACAAGAAGCTCCTCCATGGAGCACTTAACAAAATTGCCCTGGAGTTTCATGTACACCGATCGACAGTGCAACGCGTCTGGAAGCGCGCCTGCGTTGACTTGAATCACGCCACACGACCATGTTCCGACGTAGCATCACGTAAAAAGGGCCACTGTGGACGCAACCTCAAGCACCAAGATGTTGCTGTCCGCCTGCATGCCATACCAAAGAGCCGCCGCACAACGTTCCGCTCGATCGCCGCTGCAATGCTAATGTCCCTGCACGACTACTACCGCCGTGGCATCTTTGTCAAGTACACCAGCACTGTCCGGCCGATGCTCACTGAGGCAAACAAGGCTGTTTGAGTGGGTTGGGCAATGGGTCTCATTCATGCGTCGGATCGTGGTGAGTACACATTCGATGGCATGATGGAATATGTTCATGTCGACGAGAAGTGGTTTTTCGCAACCCGTGTGAGCAAACGGTACTCCCTTGCCCCTGGCGAAGCACCACAACATCGAACCTGCAAGTCAAAGCGTTTTATCTCCAAAGTGATGTTTTTCTCGGCGGTGGCACGACCGTGATTGAACGACGACTCAGGCGAATGGTTTGACGGGAAGATCGGTACCTGGCACTGAACGGAGAAAGTGGCCGCCGCACGAACGAGTCTCAACCGTCCTGCTGGAGCCCTCGAAACACAACCAATCAGTGTCACACGACCCGTCTACAAGGTTATGCTTATCGACAAGGTCATCCCAACCATCAAGTCGAAGTGGACTTCAAGTGCAGGAAGAAATGTTATCATCCAGCAAGACAATGCAAGGCCGCACGTCCCACCCTCGGACTCCGAGATTGTTGACGCCTGTAAAAGTGGCAGATGGAACATGAAGGTCGCGTACCAGCCCCCCAACTCGCCGGATCTCAACATTTTGAAACTTGGCTTTTTTCGTGCGATCCAGTCACTACAAGAAAAGAACCACTCCCGCAACATTAGAGAGGTTTCGCAACTCATCTTTATCATCACCCTCAGCTGTGTCTGCCAAAACCGGAAGTGTACCTGTAAAACCTAATTAACGATACTGCAAAACTTGATTAACAATCATCAGAATTGGCCAATTGTGATGACAATCATCTTTGTCCTCACAGGTCGCTTTTGGTTCAGCCGCCACCTTCGTGAGGGGATGGTTGTGCTGGCCAACATATTCCTTGCAGCACCAGTCGGCAAGGTTCGGTGGTACTGACTCCATGCGCAGTACTCGGGCAGCACGCGGTTGCTGCCTTCATAATACTGAATCAACTATTATCCTTGGTAGCTAGACCTGACGCAGGCGTTCAGTGTCGCGGATGAAGCCTGTTAGGAAGGCCCGGTACAAGTGGTACACATTATCGCACTCGATCCAGTGGGACCCAACGCACGAAGCACGACATTCCACCATTCTTCCACGTCCTGTGCATCGTCGTGGTTCAAGTTGTCGGAGTATTTTTAGTACAAGGCCGGCGGGCCTGTCTTTGTATCGACACTTCGTGAAAAGTATTCACTGAAGACTGTTCACCAAGTGTAGCTGCTAACAGACTCGACGGGGCCACTTCATAGAGCTACTTGTATGCTGTAATGTTGTACCTTAATACATGTAGATGGATTAGAACTTGCGCTGTTTTTAAACGACTCACCACTAAGAACAAATCGCAATGTTATTGCGTTAGCATTCGCTTGTTCTTACTATTAACGTTCACTCGAACCCCAGGAGATAACTTGACTGGGGCCTGAACCCATAGCGGCAACGTTAGCTATGGCATTTGTCATCGCGTCGAGAACATCACTAATGAGAATTTGTGAAAGGACTTCTGAGCAAAAGAGCATGGAAAACTCCCAAGGAAGTGGGTCCTAGCATGGGACACAAGCAGCGTAAGGTACTAGTCATGCAGTATGTCTGCATGATTGACAACGTGCGGTGCCCAAGCTGTCGAGTACAGCATGCATCCGAATAACTTATTTAACCGGAAGAAATGCAATGACACGGATGAGGATAAGTTGCGAAACGTAAACTATTTTGTCATTATCATTGTCCTGAAAACGACATTTGTCGAGATTGTGATGATGAGGGTAATGTAAAGATGAGTTGCGAAACCTCTCTAATGAGCCCTCCTGCTTCGACCATTACCGCCTACTCCGGCATTCTCCTCGACGACGCCTACAAGTTCTATGCTGCGTGGCGCTCCACGTTTGAGGAAGCGGCAGTGACCGCAGGCTTCTTCTCGCTTTACACCAACGAGACCTATTGCCCTACGCGCTCGAAACCGACGCCTACACTATCAGCCAGGCCAAGCTCCAGGTGGACAAGATCCGCAACGATGCGAAGTACTCCACCGACGGTTATACTGGTGACGCCTTGGAACAGCGCCTTGCAACGGTGAAACGCCTCGCACAAGACTTCACGCGCAAGTTTCTGGATGAGTATATCGCGGAGTCCCTTGCTGCCCTACGCGTCCAAGCTAAAGCATTTCTTTTCAACTCCCTCACGCCTATCCTCCAACAAGTCATCGGATCTCACGCCTCTCCCTTCTCTCTCTGGGCCGCTCTTATGGCGCGCCATGAAGCCGGCACCCGCGACCCCATGATCCTGTTTGCGAGTCTCACCCAACTCAAGTACAGTGACGACATCAGTGCCGAGACCCTCTTCACTACTCTCGAAGATCAGATCAACTTGAACGAAACGGCAACCCTCCCTGTGAACACCGACGCTCTCACGGTTCGCGAAGATCATATAAAGACTTTTGAGCTCTTTCGAACTCTCTTCTACTCTAACGCCTTTGCCGCCAACAAAGACGTGTGGGACGCCGTTTGCCAGCTCCAATTCAAGGCGCGCGAGGATGGCTCTGAATGCACGCCTACTGCCATAAAGGCTACTATTCGTCACACTTTAAACATCGCCTCTCGCCGCAACCTAATCCTCTCGGATCAAGGCTCCGGTGACTCTGAATCCCGTCGACGCCAAGTTGCTGCTGCTACCACCTACACTACGCCTCCAACCGCCTTGTACGCTACGCCTTCCACTACCCAACCTCCGCCTACTTATACTGCTGCTGCCCCTTCTTACGAGTCACTGCCACGTTGGGCACACCCAAACTATATTCAACTATCCTTTCAATTCCTGCTTCTATTGTGGCTCGCCTGAACACCGCCTTCCCGACTGCCGCATCATGCGCGATGACGACAGTCGAAACCGCATTCGTGCCGGCGTTCCCAAGCACGTTGTTGACACACACTGTCGTCGGAAACGTGCATCGTCTCGCAAGATCATTGACAATCATACGCAACATCATCGCCGCGACTGCGACGACTACGACGACAACTATGGGAACGATCAGGGTCCCAACAGCAGCTATCCCAAGCGTCATCGTGACGACTCTCGACCGCCTCCCCGAACTTCTACTCGTCGATCGCCGCCACCTCGCAGCGAGATCGTTCCTCCGGCCGGTCCTCTCGAGCTCATCATCGCTTTTCTACTCCTTTTTTTACCATCCACCCAGACTCAAGTCGTAGTCGTCCCATATCCCCTCCATCCTCCGCCTATCCTCGCCTTTCGTCAGCTACCCGTCGTGCTTGTTCATCGCCTCCTAAATGTCGCGCTTCTCCATCACGTCCATCTGCTGGATGGAATACGTCCCAAACCTTTCATCCTTCTTCCGCCTTTCTACGCCGCTCTACATCGGCACCGCCTGCGAAACGCCAACGCCTTCCCAATCCCACCTCTCAACCCTCAACTACAAAGGCATCAATTCCGCCTACCTTAGCTACAACGTGCAATGTGTGATACGGAAGTGGAGTCGTCAAGCCGCAAGTCTCGGTCGCCGGAGCGCGACGACGACACAGTGCGTATGGCGCCAAGAGGGCACGAAGGTCGCGGACGTTTCTGTGGGCCTTTTGGCTCTCCTCGAAGAAACCAACCCCAACCCGTTGATCGGATAGGGTTTGGTGTCTAAGGTGGAGTGGGGATGACGTCAAGTTGGACGCCATCGGCTGTGCCAACACGAGCTGCGGCGGAAGTGCCGCTGCCAGACGCATCATCTGCGGGTGCGAGTGCACCTGGTGACGTGGACATGGGCGACGACGAGCCCGTGAAAGTACTGAACGCGCCGGCTTTACCGTTGCCGCCCTCTTTCAAGGGGTCGACGAAAGCGGAGCGTCGTGCGTTTATGCGATAATACCAGCGATATACGTCGCAAATCATGGCACTGCAATCAACGGGCCAACGTCCGTTTTTAATGCCAGTCGGCGCGTGTATGGACCTGTTTTCAAAGCGACGCATCGCTATGTTTGACTTTGGGAAGTCACATGGCGATGTGACAGAAGACGAGTGGGTGTCCTGGTTCATAGAGGCCCACGATGAAGAACCCGTTGAGTTGGACGCGCTGAAGAAGCGCCTTCAGATGGCCGTACAGTTCGACACCAAGATCCTCGACGCCGACAGTCGAGTGAGTCGAATGCTCGACAACTTGATGAAAACCCTCGAGGCGGACGGCCAAGAGTGGGTACTCCATCAGGAGGGGAAGTTGGTGGTGGGAATCATCACCAAAGCGATCAAGCCAGCACCGCTCCAGCTGGCCGTGACGAAGCAGCTGCAACTGCAGCGGAACAAAGTGCTCAAGTCAGACGTGTTTCGCTACGTCAAGTGGCTGCGGCAATTCGCCATTGGGTACCAGCTGTATGGCGGCATGGACGTAGAAAGACCTTCGAAGGAGCCGGCAGAGGAGCCGGGAAAGGAAAACTCGCGGCCTCGTCCACGTTTCAGCCCGGTTCCCGAAGAAAAGTGGCCCAGTGGCGCGTCTGTCGCGCCTCCTACTTGGCGTAAGAGACGAGCCACCAGAGCGGCCGAAGCCCACGTGCCTGAAGTGTCAGTCGACGGCACACCGAATGCGGGAACACCCTGGCATTACAGATGCCGAGGTAAAGAAGTTGATGGACTACTTCCATCAGGCGCGCCGTCGGTCGGTGAACTTCGTGTCGAGCACGAAGCCTGCGAACAGCATGGAGTGCCAAGCGTCGATCGAGGACGTTCTCACAATTCCTTAAGTGTTGTTGGACTCTGGGTCCGACGAGACGTTGGTGTAGGAAGGCCTCCTTGTGGCGCTGGAACGCCTTGGAGCAAGTCTCAACGTTGAGTAAGCCAAGACTCATGTTGAAGCCGTATGGAGAGACAACCAAGCTTCTCCATGTGACACGGCAAGTGCAGTTCAAGACGGTGACGTTGGAGACGTCAATCGGCCCCCTGGTCTTGCGTGGACTTCGAGCGTGGGTCGAAGAAAAGAAGATGGAGATCGACGTTCTCATTGGACGTCCCGTTATGGAGCGACTGGGGTTTTCAGTCGACGGCATGCTTGTCGACGCGTTGAAGCAGCGTCGAGTCTGGGATATGGCCGAGGCGGGAGATGCCGACCCCAGACGTCGGCAAACGTGAAGCGGCTGCAAGAGGCGTTCCAGGAAGACCCCGAAGACGCATTGTAAGCCGAGGACGTGGCGTGTTCCACTCGGGAAAAGATTATTTTTTAGCAAACGATGGATTACAGTATTTCCGAGCGAGGCTTTGGGATGGAGCATTTTAGAGCGTACTTAGACTGTTGCAGTATTTTCGAGCGTACTTAGTTGGGACATAAGCTGTTGTACTATTATTGTTTTAGAGCATTACGGATATAACCTAATGCAACATCCCTCAGTTACGCCTTACAGCGTACTGCATCCACTGGGACAAACCGGATTGATAGTGAAGTTAAGATATTCCCAAGTGGGATAAACTGGGACAATGGATGCTTTCGATTCAATTTTGGATACACAACACAGTCCACAAGGGGTTTGCAAACCCCGGGCATAGCATTATACGTACGTTATCCGGGGTGGAGACGTAGTCTCCGTGGGTGAAAGGGTACGGTTCTGGTGAAAGAATGCTGGGGCTGGTGACCATGATGAAGTCAACAATTATTGTTTGGGATGCACGGGGATGCAATGGGATAAATTCGATGATTGGGTATATCCCCACGGATAATATCTGTCACGAAGTAGGAAACTTTCAAGGTCTTCCATGGCAAACCGTTGAGAGAGGGAAGCCTTCAAGGCGAGGACGAGGGAAAGAGTAGGCGCAAGAATAAGTAGATCGTCCACGTAGAGGCTGACAATGGTGAAACCGGAGGCGTCAGACTTGATGAAGACGCAGCGGTCTTTGTGTAGGCGGGTGTACTTTTGGGATGTCATGTAGTCGACGAAGGTCCAGTACCATAGGTTAGGCGCTTGTTTGAGGCCGTAGAGGCTGCGTTTTAGGCGGCAAACTAATTCGCGGCGGGAGACGTCGGTCACAAGGTCGCCAGGCGGCTGTTCCATGAAGACGACGTGGTTCATGGTCCCGTTGAGAAAGGCGGTCTTGACGTCCATTTGATGACACTCGTAGATGGCCACCATAATGAAAAGAAAACGGAGGACTTCGAGGCGTACGACAGGCGCAAAGATGTCATCGTAGTCAACGCCTTCGCGTTGTAGAAAACCTTTCATAACTAGGCGTGCTTTGTACGTGCCGTTGGGCTTGATGTGGAAAACCCATCGGCAGGGTAGGACTGTCATGGTTTTTAGGCCTGGAACAAGATCGTAGGTCTTGTTATCTTGAAGGGACTGGAATTCGTCTTGGGCGGCGGCTCGCCATTTGTCACGATCGGAACGGCGCATGGATTCCTGCCAATTTTTAGGATCGGAGGAATCGGAGGGTAGGCGGGCGCTGAGTAAGGCGTAAAGGTGCCATGCGGATAAAGTGGTGGATCGAGTGGCTGTGTAGGTGCTGAGAGAGGCAGGAAAGAGTAGGGGTAAGGCGGTGGTGGAAGAGTAGCAAGATCGTCGATGGAGATGTCAACGAATGGTAAATGAGGCGGAGATAGAACGGAGTGCCTGGTAGTGTAGGCGTTGGAGTGGTACGGCTGTGATGTTGGGCAAGTAGAGTGGTAGGAGGATGGAAAAGTGGACTGCGATATGGTAGAGCAAGTTGGAGATCGTCAAAGGCGGCAGACAAGGAGTAAACGTAGGGTGGAGACAATTGATCGGTGGTAGGCGGTGGAGATGTTGAAGGAAGTGGAGGAAAGATGGTTGGATCGAGGCGAGAAGAGAGAGGTGGTAGAGGTTCATGAGGTGTAATGGATGGAATGTCGGATGCATCACGGGCGCGAAGGCGAAATGCTGCTGCAGCTTGGATGGTGTTGATGGGTGGGAATTCATCTTCGTGGAAAACAACGTCACGGGAGTAGAATAGTTGGTGGGAGTAGGCGTTGAGTAATTTGTAGCCCTTGCGATCATCTGGTAAGCCTACAAACATACACTTGATGGAACGTGCGTCGAGTTTGTTTGTTTGGTTAGCCTTTTGAATATGAACGAAGGCGGTGCAGCCGAAGGTGCGGATGTAGGCGAGGGGTGGGTGCCGGGAGAAAACGCGATGGTAAGGCGACTGGCCGTCATTCGAGGTGGAAGGCGAGATGTTATAGAGCCAGGCGGAGTAGATAACGGCTTCGGCCCACAGGAATTTGGGGATATTACCGGCCAGTAGGAGCGCTCGCATCTTCATGACGAGTAAGCCAATGCGGCGTTCGGCCACGACGTTCTGAGCAGGCGAGTAGGCGTTGGAGAATGTGGTCTTGGTAGAGTATTTGGGTCCGATGATGCGACCGAGTTTCTCGAATTCCTTGGTATTTTCAGCTTGTAGATTACCGATGTCAGTAGGCGGTAGGTACTGAAGAGTGTTGATGTCAGACTTGAAGGTAGTGATGGCTTGGAGGCGAAATAGTTCGTACGCGTCGTAGAGATCCTTGCGGAAGGCGAGAGGGTAGACCCAGGTAAAACGGGAGTAGTCGTCGATAAACACGACGAAGTAGAAGCTGCCACCAATCGATGGCACTGGGCACGGTCCCCAAATGTCGGTGTGGACGAGAAGGAGGAAGGATGAGGCGCGGAAACGGCTGCGGAGGAAAACAGTTGTCGACGGGACTTGGCGAATTCACAAGTATCGCAGGTGAAGGATTTGAAAGGGCGTGGGCGATCGGTAGAGAAATCGGGGTGGGTCTTGACGAGGCTTTGGAGAACGGTGGAGCTTGAGTGTCCGAGGCGGTTGTGCCAAAGACGGAAGAGGGCTTCGTTAGATAGGCGTGTGTTTGAGGTGGTTGCAGTAGCTAGTGCGAGAGAAGGCGTCGTAGATGTTGAAGTTGTAGGGGGAGGCGGAGATAGAAGAGGTATATTGGTAGATGAAGAGATGTGAGTGGACTGGATTGGGGTGACAACGTTGGAAGTGAGGGACAATGCGTGTAAGGAAGGAAATTTCGAAGTGCCGGATAAACACGAAATAAGGGACGAGGCGTTGGAGTTGGGGGAGAGAGTGTGGTGGTAGGCGGTAATGAGAAATGTACAGCCTTTCTTGATGGAGACTTTATTATTTACTTTTGACGTTCGCCTAAACACACTATTTTCAAGTCTCCATCAAGAAAGGCTGTGCAATTGATCGATTACTTCGGAGCGCGCCGCGGCTTGTACGGCAGACGCAAGCGTAGAAATGGAGGACGGAGTAGGCGTGGCGAAGTGGATATGGAATGGATCTGCATCACTAAGGGAAGGATGAGCTGCTAGGTTAGCCTGAAATTCCATGATGGCAGCTGCAACGGTAGCAGGAGGGTGAGGCGGAGGGTTGCTGGCTAGGCGTGTGTAGGGCTGCGCCGCAAAGGAGTAGAGTCCCAAGGCGTTAACATGAGCACGCAGATAAAGTCCACGACCGATGTCCATGAGGCAGTGCGATGGATGCGAAAAGTCGAAGTGGCAGCCGGCTTGAACAGAGTGACGGACGGAAAGAAGGTTGAATTGTAAGGCGGGGCAATGTAGGGCAAAGGGTAGAGAGAGAGGCTCATGATGAGCGGTGAGATTGGCCGAGGTTTCGCCAGAGTGGGTGGTAACACCGAGATCGATCGGCCCGTAGCCGAGCACAGGAAGATTGCCACCATCGCCCACAGCAAGAGTAAATGATTTGTCGTAAAGGCGGAGTCAATAAAATAGCGACGGTGAGGCGTGCAGGAGGCGGTGGCACCAGAGTCGATGATCCATTCGTTGGAGAGCTGGGGATAGAGTGAAGGTTCCAAGGGAAATGGGTTAGCGTGATTGGGGGAATGCACCTTCAGGCAGACTGTGTCCCTGGATATTCCAACGTAGAAGGGAAAGTGGGTGGTCATTGTGGGAGGCGTGGGGTTAGCTTGGTAGTCTTTGAGTTGAAGGTTGTCTTTAATGAGTGGGATAGGCGGTGGTCGCGCTTTGGGATGGAGACCAGTTTGGTGCTTGAAAAGGTAATAGGCGACACATTTGTCATAGGACAGTTGGTGAAAGGCGTCGGCAGTAATGATGGCCATTTGGCCGTAGGCGACTTCATGAATTGGACCCCAGCGATCTTCTTCATCGGAGGGGTAATAAGGGCGCGCAGCACGAGGAGGCGGCGGGGGTTCACTGTAGGAGCCACCACGACGGTTGAGGCGTACGGGTAACTGTCGTGCAGGCGAGTCAACGTAATCGGCAGGCGTGGGAGGTCGTGTAGTGAGTTTGTTAGAGTTGGGAGGCGTACGCGGAGGATGAATACGATAGGCGGGGAGTGGGGGTAGCAGAGAGTCATCCACCGTGGAAGAGGCGGGGGGAAGTGGTATATAGTTTTGTTGAGGTGGAAACTGTGGTTGAACGATGAGTGCTGTGGAGGTAGCCCGAGTGTGGGCGTTAGGCGTGGATGAAGATGGAGGACGTGTCGTCGCACTGTCGACGCTCCGTCGACCAGCACAGCAACCACAACGGTGGTTAGACTCACAATGCAAACTGACTGGTATTAACCTTGTATACTAACCAGTCGTCGATATCGGCCACGCGTCGAAACCAGAGGGTTCTCGACCTCCCATTTAGGTGCGATTTGCCCTCGGTCATTGCCGAGGGCACACGACGCACTTCTGCGGACGCGGCAGAACAGGGGGGAATCGGCCCGACAACCAAGGGCACTGGACAACCAAGTGCAGGAATTGCGCCTATGCAAACAACGTGGTACCGTGGGACTGCGTTCCCGTCTTGGCTGGCTTTGTGACCTGAGAGCAACAGATTCTTCATTCCGCGAGACATGGTCGAAACCCCACAAGAGCTAACACAACAGGTGTTCCCGATGTTGGAAACGTCGCGAAGTCAACTGGCCAGCGCGCGTGCAGCAAGAACAAACTTTGCGGGGTCAAGTTTAACGGACTTGCTGGAATACATGCGGGTTGTTGTCTCCAAGACGCCGCACTGATGATGCGTCTTGACTCGTTCAAGTCACACCCCATTTTCCAGCATCATGTCTTCCAGTCCCAAGGTTTTGCAGACTTCAGCACAAACGTACCACAATTGTCGTCGCATGCAACGCCCACAGAAAGCAAGCTCTTGAGACAAGCCATGCCTCTTGTTGCGGAAACGCTCTGCCAAAGCGAACGAGCAGCTTTTGCAGATTAACGAGCAGTTGTCCAACATTCGGAATTTGCCCACACCCAACGAAATCGTTCACGCCCAATCTGTCCTTGGCCATCAAGTTGTACAAAGCGTTCGTAACGAAATTCAGTCGGAATTGTTGCGAGCGGCACGCTCATTGTCCGGACTGGAATGTCAGCCTGTTTTAACCTGAACTGGATTTGCCAAAGGTTGGAGGTACTATTAAATCGCAATGCACTGGCGCTCAAGTCCATCACCTCTTCTCCGAGTGGCGACGGTTCGGATGTATCGACAGATCAACTTGGTTCGTCAGGACTGGGCAGAATTCAAGTATGGATCTCCCCTATTACCATCAGTTGAGTCAATGGAAGCGAATTACGGTTCCAAGTGGCGAATGAGCAACACTGACATGCAGTACTATCTGCCACGAAAGCTCGATGAGGTTGACCATCGACAACGAGGTATCGGAAGGTGACACCATTGCCCATTTCGAAGATCTTTTGCGTCGTATTTTTGAAGCCAAAGCTTCAGGAACTCAACAGCAATGGACACGGACATAAAGCTCCTCAGTCATTTTAGCTTTGAATAACTCAGAAGCAATCAAGGTGTACAGTACATTTCATTTACACTTAAGGTAGATTTCTAAACAAGCAAACAGTAGCGACAGTTGAGACTGAAAGTTTTGATGACATATTTCGCGTTCATACTAAACCTAGGTTTAATTCATAGATATACCTATTCCCTCTTATACTTAGTATTTGATAACTGGCACATTTCGTGTTCATATTTACCGGATAGCAACTTGAGTGTCAGTATCCCCGAACCAGCCTACCGCCGAAGCACAATGGAGGCCGGGGATATCGTAGCGTTCGCAACTACATTTGCAGCAGTAGCTTGTGTGGTTGCCGTTGTCGGACACGATGGCAGATCAAACAAGGAGTCACCGATGAATGTTTACTCCATTCGAAACAACGACTTGCAAGGTATTTCTGCCCTACAGTACTATGCCAACATCATTTCACAACTAAAACTGTTCTACGTCACATACGTCGAAGCCTACCCTGGAAATGGGCGGTACAAGCGTACCTTGCGCGTTAGCAGGTGCATATTTGACCAAATTCGTTTCGGATGCCCTTGCGTTTTGTCTCCCGCTTCTTCTTGGCTTTCGGCCACGGGACCTTCGTCAAGGCAGCAAATATACACACTGATATTAGTGAGGTTAAACACGCTACGAGGCACCTACTGACTACCATTCACTAAAGTACTCAGTACCTCCACTCAGGTATCGGAACCTTTGACACGCCACACACACAGAGTGTGTGTGTTTGCAATGGGTCAAACTAACGCGCGACCCAATTGCTCTGCACGCTGCAGAACACTTCCCCTCCTACGAGAAGTCCAGTGTCTTGATGAGGGCGGCCACGGCAGGGTCTTCCTTGTTCGCCGCCGCCCACTTGCGAAATACGACTGGAATGTCGTCCAATAAATTCGCCGCAGGTTCCCAGGACGACTCTTCATCGTCCAATCCAAGCCACTTCACCAAAACTTGGTGTTGGCCATCCACGCAGCGCGCTTCGTCCAGGCGCTGCACATGAAATCCGCCATCGCCAAACGCGATCTGCGCCTCGAGGTCTTCGGTCACCTCTCTACCACCTTCGTGGTACATCTTCAGTCGGCACGCATGATGGACCGTGACTTCATACGGTGGCACCAGCTGCTGAGTCTCCATCACATGGTCTGTGATAACTCTGGTCACTTGGCAGGGTCCGCGCCAATGCAGTGCCAATTTTGTCGGACGGTTGACGACCGATCCGACGAGCACAAAATCACCGACTGAAAAACCCGCAAACTTGACTTGGGACTTTCGGTCGCGGCGCCCACGCGCTTGCTGACGCAACTTATCGCTTCGCACCGCCACGTTGCGGTGCATTTCTTCTAGCGCCAATTGGAGGTCCGTCACATGTTTCTGACAGGCGGCGCCAAGCGTCCGCGACGTATACTTCCTTGGACGTCGGGTGGACAAATCCTGACAGCGGGGTCTTGGCTGGCAGGCCGGTAAACGCTGTCACAGGCGCAATTCCTCCCAGCCGGTCCGCCGGCTGATGGTTGAGGGCGGCTTGAACGAGGGGCAACACATGTGGCCATTCGTCCGCGTTCAGCTTCATTTCGCTGAGCAGCGCCTTCACGGCGCGCAGCACTAGTCGGTTGACTACTTCTACAGTCCCGTTCGCCCAAGGACTGTAGGCTGACGTGATATGATGGTGGGCACCCACCAACTTCCGCACCTTCTCGATCACTTCGTTCTTGAAGTGAGAACCGCCATCTGACACCCATGTGTCAACGCAGCCGAACGTGGTAAACCACGTCATCAGGCACTGAGCGGTCGCGGCGGCGTCAGCGGACTCTGCCGCGAACAGCTGCACAAAGCCACTCATGTCGTTCTTCACGACAAGCACTTGTTTTTGGCCAGACTTGGCCATGGGCATCGACAACCAGTCGAAATGGATGAGCTCGTTCGGCTTCTATACGTGAAGCGCCGAACTCAATGGACGGGGAACCATTTCTCCGTCA